TGCATTTTGCTGGCAAATTAAATCCATCTCTAGTGTATCCAGTACAGACTGCAAGCTTGGGCATCGGAAAGATCATGCAAGCTCTTTCTTTCCCTCCCCCTTTTTATTAGTCTTCTTTTGCAATTATGATATTATCTGCCATTTGAGCAACTAAAAATTAGAGTTGTCCTTGATCAAGTTTGTCACAGCTGTCCCTCAGCACCACCACTTGCAAGGCTTTGGGGTCCGAGACCCCAGAAGCAACTGGCACTCATCTGTGCTCTGTGGCCCATCTTGTCACCCGTGGGAGGGTGTGCGTGTAAGCAAAGTCTGGAGCCATTTCTCTTCCTTTTTTGATTCATTTCTTCCTAATGCCACATATACACTCCCGAGCTAACCCAGGTTTTGATTTAAGGTCTTTAAATGCCTTGACAGCAACTATTTGGGGTCGAGCTTACTGGTACAAATGCCTAGAGACCATGGAAAGTCACCAAGGCCCCCACTACATGGCTAATGATGGACGGGAAACAGCTCAGCTATGTGTGACACTTGCTTCCCTTGACCCCTTCTGTGGACTCCTGTACAATCCCTTCCTAAACGAGAGAAAAGAGACACAACGTTAATAGGCAGAATGCCAGCCATGGTAGTCTCTCTTTCTTCTGGACATTGCTGCATGTGACTGAGCTGCCACTGACTTAGCTGCCCTAAGGTGCCGTCTGCACATAGCCCGCTTCTGCAAATGGACTCCCACCCAAGACACCTTAGGCCGAGTATGTAAGTGGCGTGGTTGCAGTAACTGAGGCAGAACAGAGTTTCAGATCACACGTTGAGATGAAATTTTTAGAGGGCCTATGTCACAGGAGAATTCGTCACAGAAAACTTATGATCCCCCATTTGAGTAAGACTCAACGAAAGGTAACTAGCCTATTTCTAACCCGTCTTTTCTCATGTACAAGTGAGACCAAACAGTAGTTAAGTACCACTAATGGAAGTGGGTTTTTATCACAACAAGAATTTTTTTTGAAAAAAACAAAGATTTATTTATTTATGTGTGTGTGTGTGTGTGTGTGTGTGTGTGCATGAATTTATGTGCGTTCAGGAACCTGCAGGACCAGAAAGCTGGATTTCTGGAATTGGACCTGGAGCTACAGGAGCTTGTGAACTGCAGAGTGAGTGCTGGGTACAAGGCCAGGTCCTCTGCGAGAGCAGTCAGTGCTATGACTATTGGCCCACCTTTCCAGCCTAAGGGCTAAAGCCGCATGTCAAGCAATAAGTGTCGATGCCCAAGGACGACTGTGATCCCAACTATATTAGCTGTCTGCCAAAGAAACAGTTTCTGGTCCATCACATGGGGAATGCTGGGTGGAAAGTCATAAGGCTACGATAATACGATGTTTGGATCAGAGGGGCATTGACGCCAGGTGTCTCCCTCCCTGGAGGCCTGTACATCTGCTTTCGCCCTCGGGTGTGTGGAGCGACCGAGGCAGCTCGGCTTGCCTGTACATTATGTCAGGTGAAACAGACTTTGAGGTAAGTGGTTTTGAGCCTGTGCTTCCTGGATGAAAACATGCATTGATCACCCCATGTATCTGTGGCTTCTACTTTAAATATGTGTAGTGAAATGGAAGTTCCAAGAAGACTTGACCCATTTTTGTGTAATAGTATTTTTAAAGATTCCTACAACTTAAAAAAATTCTTTGTTTAATGAAAAAATGGACTGCGAGTTTAAAAAAAATCTGCTGTGACTGCTAAACAGAATAAGAGTGATGGAAAACTCATCTTGTGTGTATGGTGTGTGTGCGTGTGTGTGTGTGTGTGTGTGTGTGCGATGTGGAGGTCAAAGGCTTTTTGAGACAGGAAGCTTTCCCTGGACTTCGCTCTTTTTGCTCGACCGGCTGCCCATCAAGTGGCCAGGATCCACCCGTGTCCACTACGCAGCGCTGTGGTTACAGACGTGTGCTGCCATGCCTGGCTCTTCACTCAGGTGCTGGGATTTGAACATAGGTCCTCATACTTGGTCCACTGGACCACATCCCCGGCCCTGAAACTCAACTACTTAGAGAGTCTAGAAGATTGGCCAGCCCTTCTACTTTCAACATAATTCTTCCAGTAACGAGGGAGATGAAAAGAGTTCATGCATCCATGCTTTTAGAGAAATCTCTACGTTACTTTCTGGGCACCTAAATTCAGTGATGAAGTGAGATGGGCAGGAGCTGACATTGTGAACCAGATGTGGCTAGAGGATCCAAGTCTGAGACAGGCGATAACTGAATGCCTTGGGGTGAACTGGCAAGAGGCAGCGAGGGAGAGAGGAACAGGGCCTGACCCCACTACCCGGAAGGATGTCTCCTGACTAGCCTGGGTAGAGGTCATGCGCTTCTGACCTGGGGAAGAGTAGGACAGGACAGTGTGGAGAGAACGTCACTGTTGGGGCCCCTTAAGCTCACGGCAGTGCTGTTTCCTTTCCTCAAAAGAGGACTGGCGTAATCATTGAAATACTTAATGTTTAAATATTTTAAAAGATTTAACTTCTCAAACTCATATTGGTCCACTCGATTCATATTGCATTTAAAAACCAGGAATCAAACAGCTAGTCATGCGATGTGAAAGCACCATGACCAAACTGTCCACACTACTTCAAGTTATAACAAGGTGCATCAATCATGAAAGCCCCCAAAGTGAAGAACCACAGAGTCGGACATGGATGTGTCTGTCCATCTAATTGCTACGTGAACGCAATGTAGATTGTATTTGGATTTCTGCAATAGTCAGAACACACTCAGCTAATGTGACTCACCGTCCTGTGGAAATGAAGTTTAAGGTGCTGATTGGCAGGAGCAACTCAAGACAAGCAGCCCCCACCATACCATGCCCCATCCCCCGCTCCCCTGCAGCTTCCCCTATTGGTTTGCCAAAAGACTGCTTTGCACAGAGTTGCACAGGGCATGCCTCAGACAGAACAGAAGCAGGGAGTGAGTTCAGAGATGTTAATCATTCTCTTGAACAAAGATGAATGAGCTAGGTAGCCAGTGTCTACACACAAATAATTAAGGATTCATAATAATGCTCACCAATAATCAACTCAGACTAAAGAGTCAAATTTTGACCAAACGTCATGCATGACAAACTTGTAAAATCTGTCATTGGAGATTATCACTAGAAGTACTCTTGACAACTCATAGATGGAAAATTAAAAACTCTTTAAGAGAAAAAAGTAAATTTTGAAGCATGTACTGAACATTTAAACTAATTATGTATTTTCAACCTTGCTTCATAGTTTAGTTCCACAATTCGGTTTTTGTGTTCAAACTGAAATCACATGCATTCAAACTTTATTGTCTTAATTTCTCTACTTTTCCAAAAAGTACATGGTACAATTTTGAAAGATCTTTAACATTTAAAAAAATATCAGCTGTCTGTGGTGATGTATGCCTTTAATCCCAGCACACAGGAAGCAGAGACAGGAGGATCTCAGTGAGTTCAAGGCCAGCCTGGACTACATAGGGAGCTCCAGGACAGCCCAGACTAAACAGAGAAAGCCTACTAAAGGAGAAAACAACAACAAACCACTTCTTCCATCTCTCGTCCTTGAACACTGGTGCTTGTGATGTTGTCATGAGTTTTCACTGGATTAGCACATCTACCAGAAACGGGGAGGAGACCCCAGGCTACCCTGATACTCATAATTCAACTGACAAAGCAGTTTAAAGTAACATTTCAGAATTGTATCACTTAAAACAGAGGTTCTTAACCTTCATAATGTGTGACCCTTTAATACAGTTCCTCATTTTGTGGTGACTTCCCCAGCCATGAAATTATGTTTTTGCAATTTCATAACTGTAATTTTGCTACTGTTGTGAATTATAGTATCAATATCTGACATGCAGGATACCTGATATGCAACCCCCAAAGGGGTCACGGCCCACAGGTTGAGAACCACTGACCTAGACTAATTTATTTCTGTGGCAGAGGAAGAGGAAAAGGAAGAGTAGGAGGAAAAGAAATAAGAGGAAGCAGAGAGAGGAAAAGAAGATGGGGAGGAGGCTGACTTCACATTAGAGGAGGTGGTGAAGAAAAAGGAAGGCGAGAAAGAGGAGGAGGAGGAGGGAGATGGGAAAAGGGAAGGAGAAGGGGGAATGGGGAGGGGAAGGAGGGGGCGAGAAAGAAAGTCTAGGGAAAGCAATTTCCTTGGGTTTAGGGTGAGGCATCTCTGAACACGCAGCACACATAGGCCAATTTCCTTTGGCTTTTACTAATTTTTTTTAGCATTTCCTTCTCACAAAGACTGTAGCAAATATGAAATATCCTGCTTCTTTCGGTTTTAGTTTATTTTGCTTAAATTGTCTCTAAGGCAGGGCAATCACCGCAATGTTTAGACACTTATCTTCCCTCACTGAAGCAGCAACTTATCTTGTTATCTTTGGACCCCTGTTGCCTAACTCAGGGGAGGGCACACGGTGCAGCTGGAAAAGGGAAGGAGCAAACAGTCCTCTGTGAATGGTTTTAGTTAGTAAATCTGTCCTGGCCTTCTATGGATGGGTTTCATTATCTCCAAGTCACCAGATAGTGAGGGAAGCCAGCAAGTCCGTCACCTTCAACCATCCACCCAGGCCCTCAGACTAAAATAGAAGCGTTCCACTTGAAGCTCTGCTGTGGTATCTATTCTGAACAGCATCCCATCGAAAGATAACCAAGATTGAATATATATTTAACTTTATGTTCTTTGGGAGCTTGGTACATCTCACCCTAAAAACTCAAAAATCTTCCAGTCATTGACTGCTCCACGAGCTCCTGTGGAGCCAGCAAACTGAGCACTGGTGTGGGAACCCACTTCATGCCGTAGACACAGCTCAAAGGTCATCCTTGAAATACTGTTTTGTCAACAGCTAAGTTAGAAAATAGTCTAATACATAACAGTAACAATCTTACACCGTCAATGAGCTATAAGACAGCAGAACTAAGTCTCCCAGTCAGAACAGAGCAGGCGTCAGAGGTCAGCAAAGTCCACGGGAGTTTCCTACCTTAAACACATTGATGGGGAGATCAATGACGACGTAGATCAGGTCCCCCAGGGCCAGGCTGGCTATGAGTGCATTGGGACCATTCCTCATGCACTTATTCTGGTAAATGATCCTAAGCAGGGTTGCGTTCCCCACCATCCCCACGATGAAAATGGTGCAGGATATCACAGTGTTAATGTATTTGAAAGCTGTCGTGATTTTAGTCTGTTGTGGGCAATAGCTACGCACTGAGCCATTGCTGGGCAGGGCCAAATTTGTAGGTCGATGAGTGGTTCCCAGGAAGCTGAGCTCTGTCCCCGGAAAAGGGGTGAAGTCCCCCGCTTGACTGCTTAGATTTGCGCTGTGTCTCTCAGGATTGTCACTGATTACTCCTCCCACCAGGATGAGCCAAAGGGATGTCGTGAGGCAAAAAGTATCCATCTTAGTGTGGATCTGAAGAAAAGTCTTAAGTTGTTTTTACACCTTTCTTTCACCTGGAAGAAAAAAAAAAGTAGGAAAAATTCTTATCATTTTTTGCTACAAAATCTATCAGCCCCCAAAGGTGATGACTAATTTAATGAAAATATAGTCCATATTTGGTAATTGGCTGTGATATAACTATTTCAGCCTACCCAGATCAAAATAGAAAAGACCAAAGATCTATTACAGCAAGAAATGACCCCCGCTCGTCCTCCGTCTGGGCTCTAGCTACAGCTCTTTTACATCTAGACCATAATACAAATAAAGATATTTCTGTTTCCCCCAACAACAGCAGGTTTTTCTCTTCATTTGGTCTAAGAAGAACCTGAATCTTCCAAAAGTGAGACAGAAACATTTTTGGTAAAAGAGGAAAAGTTGCTTCATATGGAGGCACAAAAGACAAGAATCTAATTCTGTGACTTAAATTTCAGGCTCCCCTAGTGAGTGTTGTTTTGCACATGGCAGGAACGAGCGGGGCAATGGTGTAGTCTAGAGCTTTGAAGCGTTCAGTTAAAGCCAGACGTCTCCTTAGTGCTAGGAATACATCTAACAATTCAACAGCCTAGGAGGGAGGCCAGGTGTTATCAAAAGACTACTTGGCATTCATTTGCTCTGTCACCTGCAAAGGGCACATGGTCCCTGTTGCTCAGTAATCTAGGTTTTTCCTCTAGCACTAAAGAAAAGACACTAGAAACCCGAGGATGGCTGGAGGAGAGAAGCTAGCAATCGAAGGCAAATAGCTCCTTCTCTTTCAGTGTTCTGTGTCTTTCTTTTAATAATCTGAACATGAAGACCATAGCTTCCTTTACGGGCAGTGGTGTGTATTGAAGGCACACAACTAATCCTAAATTTTAAGACTCACATTCTTTTCCTGGACTCTGCTCAAGACTGTGGCTGACCACTTTTATGAATTTTGGTAGCGGTCGTGGGGCAACACTAAGTTGAATCTTAGTCCCTATGTAGACAAAGCAAGACACATTGACCGGCACACAAGGTATAGGGCCAGCTCAGTGCCATGGCCGGCCAAGCGCTTCCGAAACAATAGCGTTTTATACATTGCACCTGACAGACGCCATCTGTTTCTTGCTTGAGCATTTCCAGTAGAGCAGGTAGAAGCAAGATTTGCGCTTCACTTGAGAGAAATGGGCCATGGGGAGACAGTGGCAGGCCAGCCATTCCATCTCCTAACTGAGTTGTAGGGTTCCACTGGCTGCTACAATTTCAAAGTGAGGAACCTGCCACCATCCTGCTGCCATGTTACTTCTGCTCACCCTGAATTATAAGTAATTTACAGATTTCCTCTCCTGTCTCCTACAGAACAGTCTCTGGCCAACTCTTTAGTAGGCCTATCAAGTATCTCCATTACCCTTCCCAGATGGAGGCCAGAATCCCAAGCACAGAGTTAGTTAAAATCTGTCTCTTTGAATAATGAGGGACGACACAATTCTTTAATTTCTTGACTGCTTTTTGATTAAAAGATCCTAGTTTTCCCAACGGGGATGGAATTAGTAGTAGTTTCCCCACAACTGAGAGGAAGAGGTCTTTTTCACAAACAGAAGAGCTTCATGCGCTATATTAAGATCATCTAGGAGGTGACTTTATGAGCCACTTGGTTGTCACTGGCCCTGTACCCTTCATAAAGCACCTCACTGGTACCCACATGAGTTGCTGGTTTCCTCCATCAGCTACGGGTGCTGAGAACGCCAAAGCCACGGCTTCTCGCCATGGTGTGAGCCAACTACCATCAAAACTTCTTCCTTCCCGGCTTCCCCTCAACAAAGACACTACCAAGGAACTCCTGACACCCCCGTCAGTTCTCCACATCTAAGGGACATCTGCCAAAAACATGTGGCTGCCATATTGTCACAGAGTGAAAAAACACAAAACCAAATGAAAGAAACCTCTTTCAAATGCATGCTCTCCCAAGGACGGATCTGGAGCTCATTCTGGTTCATTCGAGGCAAGCTTGGTTGGGCATCTTCTGTTGTAGTCAGACACAACTCTGGAGAAGCAACCCCATTCAAGCCTGAAGGACGGGGCTAAGGACTCAGCATTCTTCCTTTTGTGGGGTAGAGATTTCGGAGTGCTTTAACAAGCGCTGATTGCTTAGCCCTTTACCTGTTTAACATATCAGACTCTCGGACGAATGTTCATTCCGTTAGCTCTTTGGAAATTCCCATGGCACACAAACTGCACATGTTTAGAACAGGTAATTTGCAAGATACTGTTGCCAGGGTATTTCTCTGTTGGCTAACACTTTAAAAACAGATGGTTTATTGGGGGGGGGGAGTATCCATAAACGACTACAAGGGGAGAAAAAAAATTAAACAAAGAACTTTTCTTTGAAGTTCTCTGTGGTTTTGCTCTCTGCCACTCCTTGGTGGCACCGTCTGACTTTAATATGCCTTCACCCCATGTCTGCTGGGGTGAGGCCATTAGTGCGGTGTAAACAGAGGTGGCTTATCTGCAGACTGCTAGTGTTCCACGCGTGAAAGGCAACAAGTGCCCTTTAAAGGAGAGTAAGAGCAAACAGCCCAGACCTCCAGCAACAGCCAGATTCCCAACACTAGCTGCAGTGTGGTGTGAGGAGGGGTTCACAGCTGTCGGATCTTCACAGTAAGTGTCCTTGGCTACTCACACCCTGGATGGGGGATGCGAAGAGGCTGCTCCACCAACTTCACCAGTAAACTTCGGAGCAAGCTTTAAGCATGATGTACTGAAAGCTCTTTCCTGCCTGTGGAGAAAGAGACACCCCTGGCCCAACTTCCTTTTTCTAAAAATCAGAGTCTTGCCTGGGGATGTAAAATGCTTTTGATCTGTGGTTAAAGCTCATCACTCTACTCCCACCCCGCAGCGCTCAAGATTCCTAGGAAGGTGACCCACACAGGACGCCAGGGCAGGTAGGAGCTAGCCCCGGGTGCAGCGTTTCGCGGGCGCTGCGCGACACCCCAACTCCTCCCAGTCGATAGCCCCAGGCTGCGACCCTATCCCTTGTCCCAGTTCTGGTTCCCATTAGGAAAGACTAGAACTGACCTCGGATCTTCTTGTACGGTCGCAAACAGCGCCAGGTCCGCGCCTGGGCCAGACGGATCCGGAGTGGGAGAACAAGGGTGGCGCGTAGGGTGGCGGGTGACCGGGGCTGCAGCACTGCGTCGACTTGGGGAAACTTCCCCGGCAGGGCCTGACTCCTTTGAGGGAGATCTCGCCCCGCTCCCAACCTCCGGCGACGATTCGGTGGACCAGAGTGGCTCTCCACCTCCCCGGCACGGTCGCCAGGCCAGAGGAATGGGTGTGCGCGCGAGTCTCCCAAGCAAAAGCAAACTCCAGAGGAACACGCCTCCCGCGGTCCTCGCCAGGCTCCACAGGCTTCCAGACCGTCCCCTCCACTCTGGGACCGAACTGCAGGGGCGTCCTAGCCCGCCTCCCCTCCAGGGAGCAGCCGCCAAACTGCGATGCTGCTGCCCCCGCCAGGCCCTGAAGGGCAGGAATCTTTAACTATTTCCTTCCTGAGATAAAGCTGGGGGTGGGCTTAGGATGGGGTAGAAAAGGGAGCAGAGCTTTTCAGAGGGCCTCAGAGTTGTGCCTGGCTTTAGGAAGAAGCTAAAGGCACCAGGCAGTGAATACAGGCGGGTTTGATCTGCAGGGAAAAATAGGGCCCAAGGGTCGTGCCTCCTCTGCCCCCTGTCAACTTTGCTTACCTTTGAGGAAGATATGTCCTTGGATCAAGTGAACTCTGAAAAACTACAACTCCTAGCTCAGGGCATGGGGAAGCTGGAGAGTCTGTGGAAGGTTCTAGTGTATGGGCAGAGAGATGGTGATGCCCAAGTAATTAAAATGATAATGGGGAGACCACACAGAAGACTTGATCACAAGACCGTGTCAAGACCTTATGATGAGACAAGATGCAGTGGAGGGGGTGGGGGGCGGGCGGCGGAGGGAGGGGTGGGAGGAGGCAATAGGAGGAGGGATGAGGGCCAAAGGCCATTGCTTGCCAGTTAACAGTTGGGTTCCTCAGAGAAGGAGTCATGCCTGTATGGGTGCCCAATAACTCATTGGTGCCCTACAGTAACTCTGGTGGAATCGTACCTCAGTTTGTTCTTGGGATATTAGGAGGAGCGGGTACAGGACTTACATCCCGCCCCCCCCCCCAAGGGATTTTTAGGGTGGCTAGTTTCCAAGAAGAAATGTCTAAAGAAATATAAACTGCCCCCTATGTACAGCCCAGATACTGGCACCGGTGAACTTCCGCTCAATTTTGTTAGCATCTGATTCCAGATAAAAGGTGATGATACAGAGAACCCACTTGTCAATATGAGGAGTGTCAAGGAATTCAGGGACCATTTTGTAAAACCATTAAAGAGATAGCAGAATACCACGGTGGAAAGGATCTTAATATTCTTCTAGCTCTGTTGGACCAGGCATTAACTTGTCCATGAATCTGGTCCACCTAGAGTATCTCCAGGCAGGAGCCAGAATCACTGTCTTGGGTTTTACTGCCCTTTGTGCCGACAGCTTGGCAAGCCGACATGACTTTACAGGAAGAATTTAACTTGGTATGTGAAATGTGCTGGACCTGAGGCCCTACTCACCCCAGGGTCAGAAGCTGGAAGAGCCAGCAGCATCTGTGTGACTGAACTTGTCAGTCAGTCTAGTCTCTGTTACAGCACCCCTAGTAGTCCCCCACCCCTTGCTGGTCCCACCCTGTTACAGAACCAGTCATTAAAGATCCTCTTTAACACCCATTATGATGGTCACTATTTATACACGAATGAAGCCAGAATATCCGAGTGTTGGCATGGGTACTAAGAAGCAAACCCCTGTCTATTGTGGGCAGGGGTATAAAATAGATCAGTAGCCGTGCAAGACAAACCAGTGTTCCTCAGGTGACTAAGCCTAGAATTGCTATGTGGTCTAACATTCAGCTTCTGGGTATGTGTACAAAATAGGCAAGAGATGCTGGTTTTGTGGATAGAGTGAGGCTGAAAATGCAAAAAGAGATGGAGATTGGTTTGTGTTCTTTGTAAGGCTGGGTCCAGGAGGCAGATCAATGGGAGGTACCTGCTTGGCTGAAGTAACCTGGCCTTACTTCAGGTTAGCTTTTCTGTATTTAGAAAGAATTCTGCCTAACTGGCCTATTTGGGGAGTTTGTTTGCTTGTGTGTGAGTGTCTGTGTGTAGGTCAAAAGGCAACTTTGGCAAGTTGGGTGTACGGCTGGAGTGCTTTGTATGCCCATGATGTTTAACTGACTCTTCAAGAGGTCATAAGCAACAGCTTGGTTTCTGTTTAATGACATGGACTTCTGCTCGAGAGAGTCCATCTTGAATGTGTTTCTGCTTTGTTCTCTTCTTTTTTCTTTTCTTTTAAAATTTAACACTATTTTCACACTTATAAAAGGGACCTAGAATAGTCAAAACCATAGAGAAGGTAGAATTGTGATTCCCAGGGCTTTGGAGAAGGGGAACTTTCTGTTTTATGTGTTTAAGAGTTTTGGTGGGTGGTATAAAGGCTCTGGGAGCCACACACCACCCAAACTCAGTGCCCATTAAGTGTGCACTGGCAAGCGGTCGAAGTGATAGACTGTGTATGGTTTGCAAGGAAGAAACAAACCTTCCTGATGTCAAGATAAAAACCTGCCTTGCTCGTGTGCCCTGTTATCTATAAAGTGAGCTTACTGCCTCTTAGAAGAAAGATCTTCAAATCTGAGTAGACTGCTCATGGAAGCTACCAGACCACCCGTTCTCAACCTTCCTAAGGCTGGGGTCCTTTAATACAGTTCCTCATGTGCTGGTGACCCCCAGGCATAACGTTATTTTGATTGCGACTTTATAACTGCAGTTTTGCTACTGTTATAGATCAAGTGTAATTTTTCACTTTTTTTTGGAGACAGAAGTTTGTCAAAGGGGTCACGACCCACAAGTTGAGAACCACTGCTCCAGACAGCTCTGTCTTTGAAAAGCTTACCCTGCCCCATCGGTGAGAGACCACAGATGCTCCTTAGCACTGTAGATTTAGCTCCCTCTTCTGTTTTACTTTGAAGGCAATGGCCCCAGTGAATTCAATTAATCTTTTTTTTTTGGCCAAATTTACGTCATTTCTGGTTACCCTTCTCTCTGTAGGCAAGACAGTATTCTCACCACACCTCCTCTGCAATCCCGGGTTAGTCTCCCCAAGGGTATTTAGTTAGTATATTTAGCCGCATTTCCCAAGCTTGACTTTGAAAGGTTGTTTGTTTTCCCTGGAAGAAACATGCAGGTTTGAAGGCTTTCTAGACTCAGGGAAACTTGCTTGCATTCTGCCTCCACCGGTCCACTAAGCGAGCTTTTCTGTGGAGCCATTTGCAGGGACACTGCTGGGCAGCGGACCAGAATGATCTAATAAACAGTAACCTCCGTAGGTTAAGAAAAACACTCAACCTACTGTCCATGTTTCCTAAGGCAAATATTCTAATAAGTTTACTGCCTGGTTCAGAGCAGCAAGCTCACTTCAGGTGCTGAACTCCCAGGACCTTCAAACTCAGCACAGGGCAAGAGTTGTGTTTCACAGCATCTGCTGAGAATAAGGTGTGCCTTGGTTGGTTCTTGAGATGCCCCAAGGAAGAAGGAAACGAAGGATTTGTAGAACCACAGATAAAGGAAAGAAGGAAAAGGGAGCCGTGTATGGTAACACGACGCTCCGAGCTGCTGCTGCAGTCTGTGTTGAGCAGTGAATGTGTGAGACGTGTATGTGGTGTGTGTGAGACGTGTGTGTGGTCTGTGAGACGTGGGTGTATGATGTCTGTGAGAGATATGAGTTGAAACATCTGTGAGTTGTGTAAAATGGACTTGTACGTGCTTTGTTTACAAAAGAAAATGTGGTTGGCACTTGTTGGGGACACTGATTCCCCCGTTTGGTTACCTTTCTCGTTGATGTGACCAAATGCCTGCTGAGAAGTAACTTGATGTAGGGTGCACACTGGCTCTCAGTTAAGTGTGTAAAGCCTCCCTGTGGGGGGAAAATGGGGACAGGAACTTGCCAACTTGATGATATTTAGAATCACCATGGAAACCCAGCAATGGCTGTGTCTAGAGGGTGATTCTAGAAAGTTTAACTGAAGAGGGAAGCCCCACTCTGAATGTGGGCAGCAGAGCCCAGGGTGAATCCAAAGGAGAAAGTGAGCTGAGCATCAGCGTGCATTTCCCCTGCTTCAGGCCATGGAGATGCCTCATGTTCCTGACACCCTACCTTCCCACAGGAAGGCCTTGAATCCCTAGGCATTCTCATCTAAGGATGGGTAGCTTTTCCCTCTTTGAATTTATGGAATCTGAGTCGTAATTGAAGTTGCACTGAGATGAAGGGCCGTTGAGACGGCTGCTGACCTTGGGTCTCTTCTTGAGTTTACCCATCTTCTTCACCACCGCGTAGGCTGGCCTTGCCCAGTGTCCAAGGCCCTAAGAAACCGCATTTCTATCACTGCATTCACATAGACCGACTAGCTTAAGGAAGGCCTGGCTTTGGGGCTTCTCCTATTTCTCCTTCACTGTTCTGGTAGCTGTGCCATGTGGAGGAGACCTACAAGGCGATTAGAGCCTACACTGGGTGTGGGCTGGTTGCAAGCAGTCTTAAGCAGGGACGTCACCAGGGCCTGTAATGTTTTACCCCCACAAGGCTTCTCCATTCAACAGCACCAACAAAACCTTCCGTTTCCAGCTCCTGCACAAGGAAGCTACCTCCAGGTGTTTTTCTTCCATACAGTGGTCGGTTGTCTTTGGAACACCACTGCTGATGAACCCATATCTGCTTCATAAACTTTTTTTGTGTTCTCTAAACTTTTATGATGACAGTCTTGTTCCTGCCATGACCAAGTGCCATTAACATGGGTCCTCCTGGGCCACCCCTCTCTGCCCTCCTAGGAGGTGTCCTTAGATTTGAGGACAAGGTGGATGCTGGGCTTCCACCATGCTGCACGGTAATGGCCATTGGTGACCTGAGTTGGGGTTCACTCAGCCCAGGATGTGATTGCTTTGAGGGGATGCTCAGCTGTACCTGGGTCGCTTCATGCTCTAGCTTGGCAATAGAACACTCTAGCATTCAGCTTTGACTAGCCTCCCTTTGACCAGAAGCCCAACTGGTAACAGAAACAATGGATTACTTCACAGTTTTCCTTTCAGATGTGCAACATATGCTGAAAATATGTGCAAACCAGGAGAGGCCACTTTTATTGTTAGGCACAGTTTACTGGAAACATAACAGCTCCCAGGAGAGGAAACACATTACACGAGTTTTAAGCAGACATTGGCCACTCTTGTCACCTGACAATAGGTGATTGTGTCTAAGTTTTTACACTAGTACAAAATGCA